GAACACATAAAATCCTCTCACATAGCTATTTTAAAATATACATCATTATTAATTATAGTCACTATACTATACAATAAAACACCAGAACTTGTTCCTCCTATCTATTTACTTTTATATTTTATTTATTTATTTTTATGTGGTGCTGAGGATCAAACCCTGTGCCTCACTATGCTAGGCAAGCTCTACCACTGAGCCACAACCCCACCCTGTTCCTCCTATTTAAATGAAAATTTGTATTTGTAACAACATCTTTTCCTTGCTCACCCCTATAACAACCTTGATTATAAAACTAGATTGACGGGCTGGGGATGTGGCTCAAGCGGTAGCGCGCTCGCCTGGCATGTGTGCAGCCCGGGTTTGATCCTCAGCACCACATACAAACAACAATGTTGTGTCTGCCGAAAAAACTAAAAAATAAATATTAAAATTCTCTCTCTCTCTCTCTCTCTCTCTCTCCTCTCTCTAAAAAAAAAAAAAAAATGCTTGGATGCCAAGGACAAAGCCCTGTCTTTCCTCTCCAATCCCAAAAACCCCAAGTGCCAGTATGATTCCACTTAATGTGAACATGGAAAAATAAACTTAAAAAAAATTATTAAAAAAAATAAAACTAGATTGACAAAGGTAAAATATAGGCCATTTCATTTATAAACAAAAATGCAAAGTTCCAAACGACAGGTGCTGTGGCACATGCCTGTAATCCCAGTGGCTCAGGAGGCTGAGGCAGGAGGATCAAAATTTCAAAGCAAGCCTCAGCAACTTAGTAAGATGCTAAGCAACTCAGCAAGACCCTGTCTCTAAATAAAATATAAAAAAGGGCTGGGGATGTGGCTCAGTGGTTAAGTCCCTCTGGGTTCAGTTCCCAGTAACAAAAAACAAAAAGCCAGCCTCAACAACTTAGCAAGGTCCTAAGCAACTCAGTGAGACCCTGTCTCTGAATAAAATTCAAAAAAGGGCTGAGAATGTTGCTCAGTGGTTAAATGTTCCTGGGTTCAATCCTTAGTACCAAAAAAGAAAAAAGAAATCTATCAATGCAGTTCACCATATAAGAGAAAATAATTTTATTTTTTCAACTGATAAAAAGAATTTAAGAGGCTGGGCTTGTGGCACAGTGGTATAACACCTGCCTGGCATGTGTGAGGCACTGGGTTCGATCCTCAGCACCACATAAAGAAAATAAATAAATAAAGGTATTGTGTCCATCTATAACTACAAAAAAAACCCAAAAAACAAAACAAAACAAAAAAAACTTGATAAAGCCTACCACCTATTTATGAAAAAAAATTCTTTGGAAATTAAAAATATAAGAGGTCATTTTTAATTCTGTAAAATTATTAGTAAAAGTTTATAATATATTTTATATATAATAGAGAAAATTTATTTTTATTGGCACATTATAATTATACATAGTAGTAGAATTTATTATACCATATTTATACATGCACATAACATAAACTGATCCAGTATATTCCATTTCCTTCCCCTCCTCCTTCCCCAATCAGCTTGATCTACTCTACAGATATTCCTTCTATTGCTTTTGTTAATATTTTAATTAGTATATTTATATATAAAAGTGGGATTGACTGTACAATTGTACATGGACATAGCATAGAAGTTTTTTTTGTTTTGTTTTGTTTTTTTGGTACTGGAGATTGAACCCAGAAGTATTTAACCACTGAGCCATATCCCCAGTCCTTTTTAATATTTTATTTAGAGACAGGGTCTGCTGAGTGCCTTGCTAATCTGCTAAGGCTGGCTTTGAGCTCTTGATTCTCCTGCCTCAGGCTCCTGAACCACTGGGACTACAGGCATGCACCACTGCACCTGGCTGCATAGAAACTTTGAGAGAGAGAGACAGAGGGAGAGAGAATTTTCATATTTACTTTTTAGTTATCGGCGGACACAACATTTTTGTTTGTATGTGGTGCTGAGGATCGAACCCGGGCCGCATGCATGCCAGACGAGCGCACTACCGCTTGAGCCACATCCCCAGCCCTGCATAGAAACTTTTGAGAGAGAGAGTCTTACTATGCTGCCAGGCTGGCCTGGAACTCACAATCCTCATCCCTAGGCCTCCTAAGTAGCAGGGATTACAGGTGTGCTCCATTAGGCCCCCCCCCAAAAAAAAAACCTTTAAATTTATTCCCCTTTAGACAGGGAAGAAGACACAGTTGATACCACAACTACCAAATAACATATTATTAGAGGAAATAAGAGATTTTAGTTGGCTGGGGTTATAGCTCAATGGTAGAGCACTTGCCTAGCACTATGAAGCTCTGGGTTCATTTCTTAGAACCACATAAAAATAAATAAGATAAATATATTATGTACATCTACTACTAAAAGTTAAAAAAAATAGTGGTATGAGGATTGGGAGAAAAAAGATAAAACTATTTTTATTGGCAGATGATATGATGATCATATTCTAAAAAGCAACAGAACCAATAATCTAAATAGAATCAATAAAAGTTGAACAAGGCTGTCGTATACAAGTTCAATCTACAAAACAACATCCTACACTAAAGAACAATAGCAATAACCAAAAATAAAATGCTATTTTGATAGCAATAGTTGTAAAACAACTGTAAATTAAACTGGGTCTCTTTGGAGAAAATGTTAAAACTTTGATAAAAGACATGGAAGATGATCTAAGAAAATGGAAAAATCTTCCACACAATTGGATGGAATGACTTAGTAATATAAAATGTTAATTATCCCTAAATTAATCTAAAATTTCAATATAGTCCAAATAAGATTTTTAATATACTTAATAATCTCACTACAAAACCCAAAAATTTGTCTATAGACAAATAAAGATCTACAAATAGCTAAGTGAACAACAAAAATGTAACGAGGGCTGGGGCTGTGGCTCAGTGGTAGAGCACTCACCTAGCACATGGGAGGCCCTGGGTTCGATCCTCAGCACACATAAAAATAAATAAATAAAATAAAGATATTGTGTCCAACTACAACTTAAAAATAAATATTAAAAAAAGGTAACGATATGGTAGAACCTGATATGCCAAATATTAAGACATGCTACAAAACCACAGCAAAAAAAATGAGCATCATGTATTCACACTACAAAACCACAGCAGTGAAAGGACATATGTCATACTCTTTCATATTCATATGTAAATTTTTATATCAGACACATATGATAGAATGAAGAGTTCTAAGATTGTATATCTTAAATCAAACAGGAAATAATGGTTGTTTAGTAGATAATGTTGAAAAAATTAGATCCCTATATAAAAAGATAAAACTTAATGTCTACCTAGCATCTCAGGAAAAAATGGAGGATTTTTTCTGGGGATATAGCTCAGTGGTAGGCACTTGCCTAGCACATGTGAGGTCCTGAGTTCAACCCTCAGTACCTCAAAAAAAAAAAAAAAAAAAAAGAAAGAAAAAGAATCTCTATAGACTAAAGATCAACATGTGAAACAATTATAAAATTAATTGAAGAAAATGTGATCTGAGGAGGGAAAAACTACTTAGAACAAAACTTCACAGGTACAAAACTAGGCTAACTAACCCTAATTAACATCTACAGAAAATTCTATTCAACAAGAGAATATTCTATTCAAATGTATACAGAATATTTACCAACATAGACCAAATGCTGGGCCATAAAAAAAGTTTCGATAATTTAAAAGGATTCAAATTGTATAAAACAAATGTGTTAACCATAATGAGATTGAATTAGAAATCAAAAACAAAGATGTCTGGGGAAAATCCCCAAATATTTAGAAAATTTAAAAATACACTGCTAAATAATCATAGTCCCATGGGCTGGGGCTGGGGTTCAGTGGTAGAGGGCTTGCCTAGCATGCTTGAGGCACTGGGTTCCATCCCCAGCACCACATAAAAATAAATAGATAAAATAGAGGTATTGTGTCCATCTGCAACTAAAAAATATGTATTTTTAAAAATCATAGTCCTAGCCATTCAACTCCTAAGTACTTACCCAAGAGAAATGAATCCAAATATTCATACAAAAACTTGTGAATGTCCCAGTAGCTTTATTTTAATAGTCGCAAATGGAAGCAACCCAAATACCTACCAGTAAACAGATAAGCAAATTGTGCTATCTCTGTACAATGGGAACCATTTTAGCAATAAAAAAGGATAACTCATAAAAAACAATAGCATGGTTGAATCTCAATTGTGCTCAGTGAAAAAAGACAACAAAGAGGACATACTATGTAATTCTATTTAATTCTAAATATTTTAGGGAATTCTAGAATTTTAAAATTCTAAAAAATGTAAATTCATCTATACTAACAGAAATCAGATCACAGGATATTTTCATTACCTTGACTGTGGTGATGTTTTCATATATCAAAGTTATCAAATATTTAAATAGTGCAGTTTAGGAAATGTCAATACCTCAGACATACTTAAATAAGGTATGCACAAAACATAATGCATATATGCAGGAAACACACAAAAATACATTTAAAATATGTTATAAAGACTGATTTCCTAAAGTAAAGGAAAAGAGACTGTTAATGAAAAATGGAGAAAATGGAGTGGATAAATAAACACATAGCTTTAAAAATCACAAGACAGGATCCTTACCCATGTCAGGGTAGGAAGAGAAGAAGAAAAAAAAAATTGCTGTGCAAGAACCTCTACTGTGCAAGAATGGGACACTTATGAAAGTACTTATGAAAAGTAGTAAACTTATGTACTCATAGTACTTATACTACTAAGTAGTAAACAGTACTTATGTACTTATAGTAGTACTTATACTACTAAGTAGTAAACTTAGTACTTATGGAAGTAGTAAACTCTGGAAAACTCAAAAAACAATATTAATAGAAGCTTCAGACCATTGATCATCTCAACGAAGAAATATTTAGAAGTCTTTCCTAGTATCACTGAAATAACTAAAAACTACAGTACACATTCACTTAACTAACATATACTTAGTGCCTATTGTGTGCCAGGTGCTATTCAGAAGGTCAGTAAGTTTCCCAATAGCTACTCACCATTTCCACCTCCTGCTCCTACAGCCTTGACTGCTGCGGTAGAAGAATCATTTATGGTTCCCCAAGGGCCTAAACTGGATTCTATATTCCCTCCTTCTTCAGCGTACTCTACATTTCCAGTGCTCTTTTCCTTTGTTACTTGTGTTTGAACTGCTCGTGCCTGAAGTTGTTTGACAGCCTCATGAAATGCCATTTCCATTCGAATATCATTGTTTTGAATTTCATAGTACAAACCTGAGGAAAGAAAGATATTGAAATAAATGTGATTTCCTACTATCACATAATGAAGAACTGAGACCTTTGACTTATTTCCCCCATATTTTTAGCAAAGTTTAGGAACTACATGATGAGCCATCAAAGAGGAAAAAGGGAAAGAGAGTCTTACAATGGAAACACACACACACACACACACACACACACACACAGACACATCACAGGAAAATAACATACCAAGTAAAGTCCAGGCTACAACATTGGTTGGTTCCAAGCAAGTGGCATCCTCAAAGAAAATTTCTGCTTGCTCATAGTTTTCCATCAAGACAGCCAGGACACCACAGAGCAACAAGCTGAGAAAAGACCGCTAACATGGTTAAGAGCATGGTCCAAGTCACATTCATGGAATCAAGACAATCTCATGTAGAAGTTCATCTCCTCCTACTCATCCCTCATCTCCTTTCCATCTCTACCTCTGGATGTGACTCTCATTCAGGGAAAGGGCTTTCCGAAAACACTCTTGTGCTTTGATGTTGTCTTCAGTTAGGAGGCAGAAGGTACCATAGTCCAGCCAGTGATCTAGGTTCTGCGGCTCACGGACCAACCTCTAGGCACACAAGCATCAGGAGGGCCAAGGTTATTTTGACATTTTGTCCTACTTTTTGTACATATGACATCACATGGTAAGCACTCCATAAATACTGTAAGTTCTATAAGAGCATAGGCCATGACTACTTTTTTGCTTACCAGGAATCCCAAATGCCTAGTATAATTACTATTCTAGCTTTAATAGACGGCCAAAAAATATATTGTTGAAATAATGTAAAAACTGAATCCTCAAGCCATTTCTTCCCTGTGTCTGATCACCTTAAACTCATCTAGTACCTTAAGAGCCTAAAGATTCATTTTATGGGATCTCAACCATATATAGTAATTTCTACCATAATCTTGATATGGCAAATGTAAATTCATCTAAAAATCTGAGACAAAAATGGTGCCTCATGAATGAAAACCACAAATTTTGCTTAAAGAAATTAAAGAAGATATAAATAAATGGGAAGATACCCCATGTTTGTGGATTGGAAGACTTAATATTGTTAAGATGTCTACCACTACTGTAAACAATCTAAAGAGACAATGCAATTTCTACTAAAATCCTTAACAGTTAAACACAGAATTACCATATGTCCTAGCAATTTCATTTTTAAGTACACACCCAAAATAATTAAAAACAAGTACTCAAACCAATGCTTATATACAAATGTTAAGTTTGAGAGTTTTTAATATTCTTGATACGAATCCTTTGCCAGATACATGTGTTACAAATATTTTCTCCTGATCTGTATTTTTCTCATGGAGCAAAAGTTTTAAATTTTGATGAGGTTCCATTTATTTCATTTTTCTTTGATTGATGGTACTTCAGTTTCATGTCTCAAAACTCTTTACCTAGTTCTAGCCCAAGAAGATTTTCTTCTGTTTCTTTTAAAAGTTTTGTTTTAAATTTACATTCATCATCCATTTGGACTTGAATTTTGTATAATGCTTACATTAGATCAAGTTTAATTTATCTTGCATATAGATAACCAATTGTTTTAACACTATTTGTTGAAAAATTATCCTTTCTCTATGGAATTTCTTTTATATCTTGTCAAAAATCAAATATCCTTATTGTACAGGCTTATTTTTGGACTCTGTTCTATATTGATTTTTGTGTGTACCCTTCACTAAACAAGATTTGTTTTTATTTTTTGCAGTGCTGGGCATCAAACCCAGGGTCATATACATGCTAGGCAAGAGCTTTCTACCACTGAGCTATACCCCCTACCCCACAAGTTTCATTTTCAGTATTCAAAAACTACTATTCTTTATGTCCATATTTTACAATAATAGTAACAAAAATCACTGAGAAAGATTTTTAATTACCTCTTTATAATACACTGCTGCCATTTCAAAGTTTTCATTAACCTCTGCTTCAAATGCAAAGAGTCGAAGCTGTTCACTGCTTGTATGAATGGCTGAAACAGTGCTTTGGACATCATCTGGCATGGCCTTGTCAATATCAAGATGTTAAGCAAACAAAATGAAGCAATTCCAAGTGAAGAGGGTTATGAGAATAACCAGATGTAAGATACAGTCATAACATCTAAGATGATACTGAGGTTTCTTACAGTCTTGCCAAGGCAGTAAGAGAATAAGAGAGAACCAAGAAACAAATATCACGGGTGAAAGGGAAGCTCAGGTATTTGAATACCAATAGTGTGAGCTCATGGAAGTGAGTAAAAATTGTTTAAGGCAAAAACAACTCTCCTCAACCCTCAGGGCAGACAGTGTCCCTCCTCAAGTTACCTCTGACCTCAAACAGCTTCCTTTATTTTCTATAGGACAAATATCATTTTCAAGGGCCATGATGTGAAAAACGTCAGCAAGTTAGTGCTAGCTAGAGAGAGTTTTTAAACATGAAGAAAACAGGAGACAAAGGGTAAAGCTTTAAAATCCAGATCTGTAACTTTAGGGGGAAAATTAAACTGATAGAACCTACAAAGGAGACATTTGAGAAATAGCCAGAAAGGTAGAAAGAAAAGCAGAAATAGAATATATCATATATACCCAGGCTGGAAGATCAAGTCTGGTGTAATTAGTAATCTCCTGAGTCAGAAGCTATGGCCACGCAAGAACCTAAAATTCCTTAATTAAAAGTAAAAATGGGGGCTGGGGATGTGGCTCAAGCAGTAGCGCGCTCGCCTGGCATGCACAGGGCCCTGGGTTCGATCCTCAGCACCACATAAATGTAAAATAAAGATGTTGTGTCCACTGAAAACTAAAAAAATAAATATTAAAAAAAAAAGTAAAAATTGGGCTGAGGTTGTGGCTTAGTGGTACAGTGCTTGCCTAGCATGGGTGAGGCACTGGGTTCGATTCTCAACACCACATATAAATTAATAAATAAATTAAATAAAGGTCCATCAACAACTAAGAAAAAATTTTTTTAAAAATGATAGCAATGACTTTAACAAGTATAGTAGATAAGGAATGTGAAGAGTAAAGCTAAGGCCAGGCGTAGTAGTGCACACCTGTAATCCCAGCAATCTGGGAGTCTGAGGCAGGAGGATCACAAGTTCATAGACCAGCTTCAGCAACTTAGTGAGGCCCTAAGCAACTCAGGCCCTAAGACCCTGCCTCAAAATAAAAAATAAAAAAGATTAGGGATTCAGCTCAATGGTTAAAAGTGCCCCTGGGTTCAATCCTAGTACCAAAAAATAATTTTAAAATAAAGCCAAATTTGAGATGGGCCAAAGAGTTTTTGATCACTGATTAATGCTTCTGTTCTCTGTGCTTTTTAGTTTTGATTATCATGACCTTCAAATCCTTCCAGAAACACACTTTTATGCCCACACCTGAATTACTCTACTTCTAGTATCCCATTCCCAGAATCCACTTTCCAACCCTTCCACCTTTTTATCATTTACTTAAAGTAGCTTCCTGACTTCATTTCCTCCACTTCCAATAAGCCCATCACTTCCCAAATGGATCAACCTGAACTCATGATTACCTACTTGTCCTCCTCTCTCACTAGCACACTCAAATCTCAAGCATCCTCGTCCTTTTCCTGCATTTGTCCTGAAAACTCCCAAATTAAAACAATCCTACAGCTAGGTGCCATAATCACAGAGCATGCCTGTAATCCCAGTGACTACAGAGGCTGAGGCAGGGATATTGCAAGTTCAAGGCCAGTCTTAGAAAGTTAGTGAAACCCTCAGGAACTTAGAGAGACCCTGTCCCCAAATAAAAAATTAAATGCACTGGGAATGTGGCGAGTGGTAAAGTGCCCCTGGGTTCAACCCCTAGTACCAAAATAAATCAATAAATAAAAATAATTTTTTAAAAAAATAAGCCTACAATCTGATTTCTTCATTCCTGCACAGGTGTGTTTAACTGATTCTAAGAAAAACTGAATAGGTCTGGGGTTGTAGCTCAGTGGTAGAACACTTGCCTCAAATGTATGGGGTACTGGGTTCAATCTTTAGCACCATATAAAATAATAAATAAAGTAAATAAAGGTATTGTGTCCATCTACAACATTTAAAAAAAGAAAGAAAGAGAAACATAATAGCTACAGAGATACCTGAGCCTCCCAGACTCTTGTGGCATTCAGTCTTAGCGAAAATCTTTAATACTCTCAGTAATTTCTATATTCGTCCTTGTTTAACAACAAAATTTTCTCTTCAACTTGTTCATTCAACCTGCATTGCCTTTACTTTCAATAAAGACCTTATCTCACGAGGTGAGATAATAGAAATAATTAGGCAAGAAACCCTCAATTTTTAATCCCACACCTAAGTTGTTTATTTCTGCATCAATCTTTTGTTTTGGGTACTGGGAATTGAATCTAGTGGCATTGAACCACTGAGCCACATCCCCAGCCCTTTTTTGTATTGTTTTTAGAGACAGGGTCTCACTGAGTTACTTGGGGCTCACTAAATTGTTGAGGCTGACTTTGAACTCACAATCCTCCTACCTCAGTCTCCTGAGCCACTGGTATTACAGGCAAGCACCACCTCGACCAGCAACTTCTGCATCTATTTTTCCCTCTCTCCTTTTGGTCTCAGAGGAAGAGGCATTGAGTCCCTTCTGTTTTAAGGCTAATCCTTGGTCCTTTCCAGTTGTATAACCTGGGCTTATCATTATTTATCTCCTCTCCTTCCACAGTTTTCAACTTCTCCCACTGTGCTGACTCCATTTCCTAAACTTATAGATAGATGTACTCGAGGTTTTTCCATCCTAAAAAGAAAATTCCTATAATTTCTAGCTTTTACTTTTCCATATTTTCTTTCATTATCAACTTCCTGATTTTATATTAATCTATTTCCTAGTCACACATTTACTCTTCAATGCACTATAATTTTAATCCTTCTCATTAGCACAATGAAGTTGCTATGTAAAAGTTAACAATAACCTCCTTATTACCAAACCCAATGAAAACTTCTTGGGTTTTGTTTTCCTTGAATTCCTAGGAGTATTTGACAATGTTGACCACTTGTTCTTAAAATTCTTTCCCTTGGCTCAAGAACTCCACTGTCTTCTGGCTCTTTTGCTTCCTTAACAATTCCACTTGTCTCCTTCATCAATTCTTTCACTCAGCCATCCCTTAAATGTTTGTGTTTCCTAGGATTCTATAACTAGTTTGCACTCTTTCCTCCTATTTTTCTCAGGCAGCCTCATCAATGACAGTAGCATCCATATATCATCACTCCCTAAATCTCATCTAGTTCAGATCTCTTCTTTAGCAAAACCCCACAGGAGCCAACGTTTAAAATTAATTCAACATCATCTGCATTTCACCAAATTTATTCATGTTATATTATTTATACTGGTTAATGTTAACATCAGTACCCAGTCAATGAGCCTTAAACTTAAGTATTTTTTACTCCTCTTCCTCTTTATTTTGCAACAGTCATCTAACATCACCAGTTTTGCCACCTTGAACCCACCCTCTATAACTGCTCTAACCCTGTATAAAAACTGAATGGTTTTTATAAAATGTAAACTGATCATAAAGTAGTTTAATTTATTGCTCCCAACTGGCTAATGAGAAAAAAGTCACAAGTTCTCTGTATGGAATACAAGGCATGCCTTCACTCTCCCAAATTTCCCAACAGGAACAGATCCTTAGCTTCATCTTCTTCCCTATCTCTTAACCACTTCAACCTCTGCTCTTGAACTCTGTATATACCAGATTCTTTGCAGCTCCTAAGCCTTTGTGGGATTCCTGTGATTCAATGCTCTGAGACATGCATCTAGAGAATTTCTTTTCAGCTTTGAAGGCCCAGCTCAAGCTATAGCTCCTCTGTGAATTCACTTGTTCATCCTAATCTGCTCTCCAATGAACACTATCACAGCATTTACCTCCTTTTACAGTTACTGTATTTTGTGCCTGACTCCTCCACTAGGTGAGAGTTCTTTTGGTTCAGAAGGCAACAGCAATTTCCATATTCAACTCTCAACTGCTTTCCAATTCAAATCATCCACATCATCCATTCCCAAGAATTAAGGACTGTTCTTTTAATTCTACAATATTGAACACTCTTGTCCTACATCTTCCAAGAAGGCTGAACCACATCAAAGAAAAAAGTGATAGTAATAGGGAAGAATAACAACAGAGAGGAACAAATAGAAAGAGGAGGCACAGCTAGTAAGAGACTAACATGAGCACAAAACAACTTTGATTTCAAATGCATACAAAAAATGAACAGATGAAGGCAAGAAGCAAGATAGGTGTACAAATAAATATGCAAACAGACAAATGGACTGGAAAGTAGATTACCTGCCTTGGGGAAAAGCATATTTGAAATGTATTGCAATTTGGTAAAATATCTGAAAACTCAGTTTTCCTTTGTTTTTATTGTAAGAATTGTGAACAGTCACAAAACAAATAGAATGATAATCTTGTTTCACAATTTCCATAGCCTAATTTGTCTATTTTTGATGATTCCATTACATTTTAAAAAGTCATAAAGTTTATTTTTCTAGGAAACTGTAAAAGTATATCCCTTGTTCTCCCCAAAATTAGCTTTATATTTTAGGCAGTTTCTTATTCATCTTTTGTTTTCAGTGCCTAGCACAGAGTAGCCACCTTAATAAATATTTGTTGAATAAGGAAGAAAAGAAGCAAAGTGGGAATATTTCAAAGGAGATCTTGATATTCTACACAGAAAAGAAGAGCTGTCAGTGTTGACACTTACCTCATTTAGGGCCACATGCATCTGATCTACCAAGAATACGTAAAGCTCACTGATAAATGTCTGCAGTTCCTCCTGGCTTTCAAATGACGTTGTCCTCAAATATTTCTCTCTCACAATCTTCACCACTGCATGCTGCAAGATATACACAATGCCTTTCATATAACACAGACCAGCACTGTGCTGATAGCACATCTCTCTAGGACTTCTCATCTAAGGTTCATCAGAACTTCAGATGGTGGTTGTTTTCTCCCTAGGTGACACTAGACTATCAGCTCTCTGGTATTCCTCTGTAGAACTTCTTTCTTTGACATCACCATCGTTACCAATTGGGGCAATGCAGGACTCATACCATGTGAAGAGAGTTATGTACCTGAAGAAAACCTTAGCATGTGGCTATGTGTTAACTCTCTCATAGTGGCCATATGATTCAAGGCAGAAAGGGAGAAAGACCTGGTTTGAGTCCAGAGAACAGAAATCTGGTTATAATGCTTACATGTACAATCTCATAAATTATTTCACATTTTGGAACCTAAGTTTCCTCATTTGTTAAGTGGACATGTAGTTCTAGTATTCAGTCATCTTATCTATAGGAGATGACTAAAAACCAAAGACAGAAAACAGAAGTAAAAACTTAAAGTGCTATATAAATACAGTAGTTTCCCCTTATACATAGTTTGAGCTCCCCATGGTCAACTGTGGTCTGAAAATATTACATGGAAAATTTCAGAAATAAATAATTCATGAGTTTTAAGTTATGTATCATTCTGAGTAGCATAATGAAATCCTGAACGGCCCCTGCTCCATCCTGTACGGCCCTACTCCATCCTGCCATGGATGTGAATCATCCTTTTGTTCAATTGTGCTTTTGTTTCCATGCTATACATTACCAGCCCATCAGACACCAAGTAGTCATCTTGCTATAAGACTGACATTTGTGGTACGGCAGTGCTTATGTTCAACAACCTTTATTTTACTTAATAATGGCACTAAAGCATAGAGGAGTGATGTTAAAAAAAAAAAAAGCCATAAAGTTCTTCCTTTATGTGAAAAGGTGAGAGTCACCATAGGTATTTATGTTATAGAAAAAAAAAAAAAAACATAGTACATACAGGGTTCAGTACTATCCACAGTTTCAAGGATCTACTGGGGGTCTTGAAACATTGTGGCGAGCCACTCATGGGCGGTGTGTGTGTGAACAATGAGTGTGAGCACATGAGCAGACTGGACTGACATTGCCTCTCATTGGGCTGGCGAGATATGTGTCCTTTTCGCTTGCTCTGCCTATGATCCCCACACAGCACCTGGGATAGGTGTGGCCTTCCAAGATGTCAGTCAATCTGCGACCACAAGACATCAGGAAGCTAGACTCAACCCCCTGATACCTGACCCTCTCTCATTGGGGTAGAACTTTCTTGAGTATCTTCCCCTCAGTAAAAAGGGGCTTCAGAACTCCTCCTCCTCTTTTTTCGGCCTCCCTTGTGGGAGTTGGAGCAGAGGAGCCACTCGCTGAAGAATCCCAAGAAAAAGATATTTTCTCTGTCTTGGTGTGGTTATTTCACATCATACCCAAATTCACCTGGAGTGACCCTGAATGACTTAGTCATGTGATATGGCAAAACATAACCCCCAATAATGGGGGACTAATGTATAAACATAGCATGTTGCTATGGCCACACAGCTGCTTTTTTCTCTCCCTAACCTAACATCATTGCCAGGTTTTATAGGAAGCACCTTCCATGCATCATATTATTTAATTCTCATAATGAGCCCATGTGATAATATGAATATTGTCCCTCACTGTTAATGAAGAAATTGAGGCACAGAAAGGTAAAGTTATGTCCTGAAGGTCACTCAGCCTGAAAAGGCAAAACCAGAATCAAACCAAGAAGTGATTATACCACCTACTGAGAATATCCTCTTGCCTCCATGAGCATCTACTTTATCATTTCCACGTGCTCTCTTTGTATCAATTTACTACAGAAAAGGACACATTGCAAATGTTCACAGAGCTAGTGTAACATAGCAGTTAGAGCCAAAGTGCCTGAATTTGAATCCTGTCTTTGACCTTTACTCTCTGTGATTTCGGGCAAATTACTTAACCAATTAATATTATATTTTCCCACCCATAAAAGGGAGCAATGGGGAGTACCTACCTCACAGGGTTATTGTAAGGATTAAAATTTGCTTGGCATACAGAAAACATTTAATAAATGTTAAACATTATTAGTCAAGATTTTTTTTTTCTTCTTACTGGGGATTGAAGCCAGAGGCCCTCTACTACTGAGCTACATCCCTATTCCTTTTTTATGTTGTATTTTGATACAGGGACTCAGTAAATTGCTGAGGCTAGCCTTGAATTTGCAATCCTCCTACCTCAGCCTACTCAGCTGCTGGGATTATGGGCATGTACCATAGCAACTATTTCTCAAATCTTAAGTGATTCCATGGGCCAGGGAGAGATTTGAATGGGAGACAGAATTCTTCACAGAGTCAGTAACATTTTCTGCCTCCTAGAGCAACATGAAATTAGGTCCAAAATCTAGCCTAGCATCAAGTGAAGAATTCATTTCTTCAATACTCATACTGGTGATAAACCCAGCCTAATTCCCTCTTAAGATTGGGAGCCATCTCGCCACAAAGGCATGAAAAGTTAATTTCGGCTTTACTATAAATTATTATGATTTCTAAACTTGCTTGGAATGCCTGCCTGAGCCTTGAACTCACCCATGTCTGGCTTTCCCTGACCAGATAACCACCCTCTCTGAAACTTTAGTGGAGCCACATAAATTATGGCTTTCCCTGGCCAGATAAGGACCCTCTCTGAAACTCTAATGAAGCCTCATAAATTCCATGTTGAGATCTAATTTACTCCCTAAGTGCTGGACCATTAATTTACTATATGCCTTTGTGTTATACTTGTCAAAATTCTGTTATCTGTAAGTTCTCAAGACACCTGACCTCTTTTGTAACTTTCTGTGCTATAAAGCTGTGCTCCTGGAGAGCTGCGGGGCTGTCTTCTGTTGCCGTGGTTTTCGGGAGAGACACCCCCGACTGGTAGGAATTACAAGCTTGCTTTAATTTGATTTCAATTGGAGCTGATAGTCTTTTCTTTGCATAGTGGTTTAACAGCTGGGAGTGGTACCCACATACCTGTAATCCCAACAGCTTGGGAAGCTGAGGCAGGAGGATTGTGAGTTCAAAGCCAGCCTCAGCAATTTAGTGAGGCCCTAAGCAACTTAGTGAGACCCTGTCTCTAAATACAAAAAAAAAGGGGGGGGGGATTTGGGGGCTGGGGATGTGGCTCAAGCAGTAGTGCGCTCGCCTGGCATGTGTGCGGCCTGGGTTCGATCCTCAGCACCACATACAAACTAAGATGTTGTGTCCGCCGAAAGCTAAAAAATAAATATTAAAAAATTCTCTCTCTAAAAAAACGGGGGGGTTGGGGAATGTGGTTCAGTGGTTTAGCGCCCCTGCATTCAATCCCTGATACCAAAACAACAACAAAAACAAAAACTCCTACTCAGAATGGACACTAAACCATTCCAAGACTCTGCAGAAGTAGAGCTTCTACTGATATTCTATCACAGAGAAGTTAGCTGAACATAATCAGAGTCAAAAAATGTTAAGTACATAGAGAAGGTGCTCCATAATATCCCACAGACAAATTAAATAAGTGAATGCTTTACCTTGAGTTGTTCTTTGAAAGCAAAGTATTTTCCAGAGGAGTTAAATTCATAATTGAGCTGGCACTTCTGCTCCTCTAAGGTTTCACTGTCTATGTTATTCCCAACCTGTTTTCCAAACATTCTGTAGTATTCATCGAGAATGGCTTTAGAAATGTTCTTGATCTGAGTGTGGTAATCACTCACTGCCTAGAAAAATGCAAAATGTCTGGTAAAGTGGCCTAAAGAGGTCAAGACCATGGATTGAAAATCTAAAACTGGATTAGGATTTATGTTCAGTAACACTATAAATATAAACTACCCTTTTCTTCCTAACTCAGAGACCACTATCCAAGGGTTAAACAGTATACCACTCACTGGCTACCACTGATCACAAATGGAACCAGAAATGAAAATATGTGATACTTCAAACAGGTTTTCACTCCTTCTGGAAGACACATTGAAGAGTCCACGCCATTTTAAATGTATGCAGTCAACACCTTATGCTTTCATGTCAGTTTTTGCACTTGCCTTCTGAGCACCTCCTGTCCAACGGATAAGGGGAGGCCTTGGAGGAATCATTTCCTTAACCCTGTATGAGGAAAATAAAATATAAAAATTTATTATATAGGGGCAGGTGTTATTGCTCAGCGGTAGAGTGCTGGCATAGCACATGTGAGACCCCTGGGTTTGATTCTCAGCACCACATAAAAGTAAGTAAAATAAAGGTATTAGTCCAACTACATCTAAAAAATAAATATTTAAAAAAACATTTATTATCTTGACTTTTTACAATAAAAGGAACATCAGATCTCATTAGTAATCTTTACCTTAACTAAATGTTAAAAAGCTATTTTTACTTTAAATAAAATGTATTATTAAAGTTTAAAAAAATTTATTATCTGCAGGTTTATGTTATCTTATATCTCACCTCCAGAGACTTGGGGTAGAGGAGATCTAAGGACTTTTTCCCTACTACATTTGAACAATGTGCTTCTCTCTCATGTAAAAATCTATATGTGAACCCCAGTATAGTAACTGGTCTATGGACTAGACAGGAAGAAAACAGCTACTCAGAGTGTCTAACTGGTACTTTTGGCTATTTGCATCCTGTATTTTCCCTTACACTCTAAAAAAAAATTGCTATTGTGTGCAAATAGCTGCTTGACTGAGGGTTAGATTGCAATGGGTCATGATTTTAGGGATACTCAGTATAAGTCTCTGAAAGCACAAAGATTTAGAAATCTCAGTGATACGGGCAGGTAAAATCTTTTCTTTCCTCTCCATCTAGAATAAAAAGTGTATTATTTATCAAAATTTAGAGAAGTACATGAGATTACAATAATGATAGCAGATTTTAAGCTAAGAAAACACATTTTGTCACCATCAAACTACTTATGCCAAAACTTCTGCCTTCCATTTTCAGAAGATCTTACAAGAATCTAAAAAGAATAAAACAGTGTTTCTCCTATGTACTGATTAAGTATGTTGTATTGACTTGATGACAAATTTGACTAAAGATACAGGGAAATGAGGAACCAATTAATGTGGATATCGAGGACAAGGATATTTCAGGCAAAAGAACAGGAAGTATAAAAGGCCTTGCTGTAAGTAAGAATGTGCCTGGCACATTTGAGCAATAGCAAAGTTTGTGAGAATTAGATGTACAAACCTGGAATTCAGGAGAGAGGTTGAGACTTGAAATAAAAAATTTGGGAGCCATCAGCATATAGATTGTTTAGAGCCATGAGACTGGCTAAAAAAAAAAAAAAAAACAAGGAAATGAGAATAGCTAGAAAATAAGTTCAAGGATTTTGAGTTTTGGGATACTCTAACATTTAAATGCTAGAGAGATAAAGAAGGCCAGGGTGGAAAGAATACAACCTAGAGAGTATAGTTGTCCTAAGAACCAGGTTAAGAAAGTCTATCAAGGAAGACTGAGTAGTTAAATGCTGTTTCCAGCTAACCACTATATTTAACAATGTGGTAGTAATTGATAACCTTGATAAGAACATTTATTTGAAGATAAACATAGTAGTCAGCTTCCCATTATTATAACAAATACCTGAGATAGTCAACTTATAAAAAGAAAAGGTTAATTTTAGCTCAAAGTTTTAGAGTCTTCAGTCCATTGTTAAGCAGACTCATATATCTTTTAGGTCTCTAAGAGAAGGGGGGTAATAGATCATGGCAGGAGCACATGATACAGCAAAGCTGTTCACCTAATGATACCAGATATCAAAGAAAATAAAGAGGAAGACTGTAGGGACACACAATCCCCTTTGAGACCTGAAACTCTAATGACCTGAATCCACCCACTAGGCCCCACCTCTTGAAGTTCACACAACCTTTCAATAGAGTTAAACTGGGACCAAGTCTTTCACACATGGACCTTTGAGGGACAATCTAGATCCAAACTATAGCAATAAATTATTGGAAGTGAACTATCAGATCAAAGGCTTAAAAGATTTATCAGTTTTTATTTAAATAACTATTACCAAATTGCTTTCCAATGGAGTTAGACCAATTGACACTTCCCCAGTTTGCATGAGAGGGTCTGTTTCCAAACCCCCTCATCAACAACAGCATGTTATCAAGCCTTTGAGATCTTCAGCAATTAAAAACATAAGGCATTTCAGGGTAATCTTAATTTCCATTTCTTTTATTATGAAAGTCATTGAGCTTCCTTTCATATGTCAAAGACTGCTTTAAACTTATACATATTCTTAAACAGTGATACAGTTTCTGCAGTTTGGTACATACAGCCAGCAACCAAAGGCAATAATCTTTTATATTATTTGGGGTAATTGGGTGTAATTTTCACTACAATTTTTTTTTTTTTTTGGTAGTGATGAGGAATGAATCCAGGGCCTTGTGCATGCAAGGCAATACCCCAAAATCATTTGGGATTTGGGTAAGGTAAACGTGGAGGAGAAATCTGCCTTTTATCTCCCTATGGCCTTCCCCCCCTCGCAAAAAAAAAAGATTACTAATAACCATTTCTTACAAAAATTTCAAGAATATTTATATGTTGACATAAGCATAATTTTAAAAAGTATTGTATATAGTTATGCTAAATGTATAAAAAGTCATGGGACAAAAAAGCCATAAAATTGCTTATGCATTTGCTATAAAATCATTAAGGATGCTTTTATCACTCCATATCACCTATGTAAGGGCCCAAAGGAGAAATCTGTTTTAGAAATTAATACCAGGGAAGCCAGGTGCAGTGGCACATGCCTGTAATCCCAGTGACTTAGGAGGCTGAGTCAGGAGGATCAAGAGTTCAAAGCCAAACGTGGATGTGTAACCAATGTGATCCTCAATCTGTACACGTGGTGAAAATGGGAATTCATAACCCTCTTGAATCAAATTTATGAAATATGATATGTCAAGAGCATTGTAATGTTTTGAGCAACCAATAAAAAAAAAAAAAAGAGTTCAAAGCCAGCCTCAGCAATTTAGTGAGGCCCTAAGCAACTCTGCAAGACTCTGTCTCTAATAAAAAAGGATGTGGCTCATCAGTTAATCAACCCCAGGGTTCAATCCCTGGTACAAAAAAAAAAAAAAAAAGCAAGAAAGAAAATTAATACCAGGGGGAAGAAATGTGGTCTTAAGACAGGATATAATTAAGATCAGAACTGCAATTAATGAAACTGAGAATTTAAAAAATACAAAGGATCAATAAAAAAAGAGTTGGTTCTTCGAAAAGATAATAAGACTAATAAACCCTTAACCAAATTAACCAAAAGAGAGAAGACCCAAATCAACAAAATTACAGGTGAAAAAGGACATGTCACCACAGACACTTCTGAAATCCAAATGATCATTAGAAACTATTTGAAAATATATATTCCAATAAACTAGAAAATCTTGAAGACACTGATAAATTTCTAGAAATATAGGAGATGCAGTAATGCATAAATTCTTTGTCTGGCTCAATCACATGATTAATCATGACATGACTGACCACCAGACACTTCGATATAAACTAACCCCACATATCAAAGCAGACCCTCTAATGGAGAAACATGATCTTGCTCAATATTTGCCAATCCTTAAAGAAGTTTAGCCCCTCAGAGCTGGGGTTGTGGCTCAGTGGTAGAGCGCTTGCCTCGCATGTGTGAGGCACTGGGTTTGATTCTCAGCACCGTGTATAAATAAATGAACAAAATAAAGGCCCATCAATGTCTAAAAAATGTTTTAAAAAAGAAGTTTAGCCCTTGTGGGTCATACATATACCACCTAATTATGTACCCTAATAAAAACTCAGCCTTAAGCCGTGGCAGCACATCTCACTGGAGTTTGCCTGCATTCTTGCACCCAATTCTGAGAGTGTGTTTATCCAACTTTCTTCTTGAATAAGCTCTCTCTTTGCTAAAAATAGAATTATCCTTAGATTATTTTCTGCAATGGTGTGATGGACCTATATAATTAGTGTGTTTTCTCATTTGTGATTAGAATTTTATAACTTACAGGGTTTCCCTTTTTATTAGATAGCTCAGATTTAATGTCTACTCATTAAAGTTCTATTTAATACTGCCTTCTTTTTTGTTCCCATGGCTTTGAGTTTTTAACTCTATTTCTAGATTATCATTACTATTTTTATATATCATTTATGATAAATATGCTCAATTTATCTTTGGAAAGGAGCCAGATGTAAAGTTTAAAAGGTTTAAGGACTCTCTGGTATAAAATATGATGTGTGTCATTATAAACAGATAATTCTCCCTGAAAACATTCAAATTACTAATAAATAACTACAATATGGCTTAAAGTTAAAGGGAGAAACTGTCTCCATCAAAATAGCAAAAAACAATTTAATTATGGTATTAGTGAATGTATGAAGAAACAGCAGTCTCATACATCACTTGTAGAAGGCCACTGGAGATATTTATCAAAAGTTCTAAAAATATGCATAATAGTCTAATGTCAGGCATGGTGGCACACACCTATAATCCTGGCTATTCAGGGCAAAGGTGGGAGGATCTAATAAAAATCTGGAGATGAAAAGTACAACTGATATTTTAAAAGTTCACTAAAAGGGTTCCATAGTAGATTTGATCAGGCAGAAGAAAGAATCAGGCAAGTTTTGGCAATTTAGTGAGACCCTGTCTCAAAAATAAGAAGGGCTGGGATATGGGCATGTAGCTCAGAGGTAGAGCACCCCCAGTACTGGGGGAAAAAAAATCCACAAGATAAAATCCATCATTTTTTTATCCTTAAATTTGAGAACAGTGCTTCTAACATCAAGAAGTAAAGTCTAGATGTCAGAAAAACAACAGCATACAAAACTCCAAAGTTCTACCCTTCCAAACACACACACACACAAAAAAAAAAGAAAAAAAAAAAAACTTGGAATACTGCAACTAACTCTGTCAGAATATTGGAAAATTGTCAAAGGTTCACAGCAATCAAGCAAATGTTGACTTAAGAAATAGGGAACATAAAAACGGTAGGAAGCTTTGTGGATTTATACTTGCCTTTGCCCACCAAAGCCCCAGTTCAGAAACAGTCTTAAAGATGGTAGCCTGGGTTTCCAATGTGGCATACTGGTCCCTGATTCTGGAGGTAGTATAACAGACCATATTC